TAGCCTGAACGCCAAATTCACTTTTCCATTTGCACTTGAGCCACCAGTAGACCTTCCCGTCTACAGCAACCATGCCCCCTTACCTTACGTGATGCGCCTGGCAAAGCTTCTTCGACGTTTTGACGTCCGAGGGTGAATGGGCGTGACATGGCTCGTTCCATGGCTTGAGCACTCGGTCGATTCCACACCTGACGTGTTGTGCGCGTGCTCGTGACTTTGCTGTGCCTGAGGCCAGACACATCATTAAACTACCTGGCTAGGTCGACGTGTGGTTGCGTGCCAAACCAGTCGGGACTCTAACCTCGCGAACAAGCCGTGGCACCACCTTCGAACCGTGTTTCCGTTTTAGCCAGACTCAAGCAGCAGCAACAACAACTACACTATCGTTTTCGTGATGCAGGACACGCGTCTTTGCGCTTGGCTCGCATCGTTGCAGTCGTTCATGCACGCATGACGTGGCGCTCCTCTGAGCGCACCCAACACACACGACTGCATCACATTATCGGACTGGCGGGCAAAATGTGACTTGGTAGATGGCATCGGTGGACACACACCCATGATTCTTGCCGTCGTCTTTGGGGAAATGGTACGCGTCGGGGCATGCGTCGGCATAGCACGTCAGGGGCACGCAAATCGAGTGGAGCGGGGTGACCGCCATCGCCACGTTGAACCCGACTTTCCCCGTCTGGTTTTTGCACATCGCCAAGCTCAGCATGTCCCCCGTGCACTACAAAAACCCGTCGGTCGTGCACACGCCCATCCCAAACATACCCCCGGCGGAATGATACTGATGTCGTAGAACGTGCCCATCGCGGACTGGACCGTGATTTCAAACACTACAACACGCCGTGAGCCGACGCGACCCCAATGCACTTACACGTGGCTTGGTCGTGTCCGGCGTGGGGAGTGTGCAAGTAAGCACCGTCGCGGTTGTTTGGACACCCGTACGACCCGACTGGCACTTGGCAAAACGACCAGTTGCGCGAATCGTCGCGGTACTTTTGATAGAGATGGAGTGGAAACGAGCACTTGTTGACAAAGTAGAACCGGTACTTGGACCATCGGACGTTGGTGCCATCGCCACGGCCCCAACCATAAACATCTTCGTCGACGCCGACGGGAGTCTCGGCAGGGTTGTTTGGCAACGACGCATTCGCGGGTGTTTGTGTGTTGTCGATCGCATCGGGCATTCCACGAGGTGCGGCCGTCGCGTTGACCATATCGCCCAAGCTTGCGTTGCTGCTGTCGCCTTTGGACACCAAGAGGACCGTGGCGACCACGCCAAACAACAGGACCGATCCGAGGAGAATGAGCGGTGTCTTGCGCCTCCGCCGTCGTCGCGACGATGAAAATGCGTCGTTCTCTGGGATCTGGTGCAACCGCTGCAAACGACGCCGATCGTTCTGGTCTTTTTCGTGTTGGCTGGCTTCGGTCGGGGTATGGGCAAAGCAAAAGAAGCTACTGACGGACGACTTGCGCGCCGATGGTTTGCGAGACGGCGGTTGAGCTGGCGGCGAGAACACCCACGCTCCACCGTGGCATCCGTCGTGAGTCGGCGTTGCAGCCGGCAAATCTTCCACGCTGCTCTGGGGCGATGTCGTTGCGATCGATGGAACACTGGGTGTGGCCGAAGGGGCCGCGAGGGGTGGCAACTGCGACACGGGAATGACTGGCTCGAGACTAGTGTCGTCGAGAGCGTCATGGATAGGTTGCGGTACCGTCAAACTCATGAGCGGCGGTGACCGGCGTGGGAGAGTTGGGCCAGCCAAAGTGGCTATGCTTGTCAGTGTGTGCGGCGCAACATCCGATCGCCCCCCCCAAGTGCAAGGACAGTGAGTAATCGAACACTTCCAAGTGGGAGAGTGTGTATGTTGTTTGATCTTGCTTTTTGTATAGAATACAGAGGAGAGCTCATTCGAATTGTGCTGGGCCGTGAATAAACAGTTTTTATTCAATCATCTTGACATTTATAAGGAAATGTATTAAAAATAGATGATACGTTGAAAGTCTTTGATTTGCAAAAAATGCAGTTCGAAAGTTCGAAGGGATGGGTTGTGCCGACCGTGGCGTATCTTGGTGGAATTCACGCGATGGCCCCACGGAATTGCCAGCGATGCCACGGAGATGTGACAGCCACCAGCAGACCGCGATGGACCCAGACCAGCCAAGTATGTGGTTGAAGAGAGAGCGCAGACACGAGTAATATCTCGACCATGGCCAAGAGAGAGCACATGACTTATCGCTGATGCGCTCGTTTGAAATATGGAACGAGGTGGACACAACTGCCAGGCACTTGAAACTCATCCCACCCGAATGCCTATACATGGAAGCGACGACGAAAGCTTCCTCTTGCATATCGAACTCAGCTAGTTGCAAGGCGTGTTGCAAGTACATTGATTAGGCAAACAAACGCATTGCCATATGCCGCTTGACTTGTAGGCTCGGTTCGTTCGATCATACTCCCCACACGTCGCTTTATTCACACGGACTGATTCCATTGTATCGGTTTGTTGCAGCACTTCATGACGAAATGCCCCAAGGCCTCGAATTTGCAGACGTGCAGGACATTGGCTAGGCGCATAGAAGATCTGTGCTACGTGTACGCTGTGGCACTGCAGGTTATCACTAAGGAGACGCTTGGTCTGCCCGGGCGAGCCAACCATCGTTGGACTGCGAAACTCCATGAACCACGTGACCAGGTCCTTGCAAGGCCTTTCTTTCTCGCATTGATTTGTGAGACACGTTTATGCATATATTTAGGACAATTCACAGGTATCAACGCTTAGAGCACACTGTGAGATTGTATGAAAAATCATGCAATATAGTCATATATGGAGCTGACCATGTGGACAGGTGGTCACTTGAAAACACCTTTTACATACATCAAGTCAAAGTCGTCGTGGTGAGGTACGAAGGCGACGGTGGCGGCATCGGCGCCCCAGGTAAACAAAGCATGCTGCGGCACGAGTAGCAACGTGTTGGAAATTTAACATCCAGCCGAAGGTTTTCAAACGCAGAGACCGCGAATACACACGGCAACTCGATCGATCCCTATACAATCAACGATTGTGCCACGGACAGCATGGCATACTTGGGGCAGTTACGATTTGAAACGGCGTGTGTGGTATACAAGTAACGGCAGCAAGTGCTCGCTTCAGCTTGCGCAGTACCTCCGCCATGGGCCACAAGAGCTACGTGAACCCCACGCTGGACGACGACGACGTCGGCAACGGGCATCGTCCCGTGCGCCGCAAGGGCAGCGACATGCCCGAGGACCAGATGAATGAACGGTCCCCGTTGACGGGCCATCACGATCGAAAGAAGGATCGTCCGTTGCCATGGGCCAAGGATCCAACATTTCGGCGGTAGGCTCGACTCAACTTTGACACGAGCGCCACATCACATGATACTAAGTAGAGCTCTGATGGCGGTCGTGATGGGCATGACAGTGCTGTTACTTGTGTTCGGCGTCATTCAGAGCCACGACGACAAGAGTTTAACGACAACGCCACCGGAACAACTCGATGTCATGGACGGAATCCCGGATGCCAAGGAAGACGGGACAGCCGAGCGTGGTGGTGCCTTGCCCCTGATTGGCACCCCGTTCCTTCCAGCCGACGTCGACCCCGCACTGTCGTTGACGCAGTTGCTGGCATTGTGGAAGCTGCCAGAAGATGCCGTCACGTTGATGACTTATCGCGAGTGGGTCGAATTGCACGAGTACTTGACTGCAGCTGCTGCTCGATTTGAAGCCGTGCACGGCAGCGTTCTGGAGGTAACCTCCAATTCTCACTCAGCGAGTGACACAACGTCTGCAGAATGCCCATCCAAGTGATCGTCTGGACCAGTCCAACCTGCCCATAAACAACGCAGCGACCAACCTGGCTTTGTTTCATCGCATCCTCGGTGAAATTCGTGTCAAGCTCGACGACATGCAAGCGCATGTGGCCACGAACGAAGCATCCGGTGCGCACGCTGCAACCGACAGCGCTCTGAGCGTCCTGGACAGTGCGGTTCCCCTTGCTCAAACGCCAATGTCTGCTATACCGATGACGTCAACCACTGCGGTACCCCCAACAACAACGATTGCCACACCGCAACCGACGACAAGTGCCCCCACCACCACGACAAGTGCCTCCATCACCACGACAAGTGCCACCATCACCACGACAAGTGCCCCCATTGCGACAACCCCTCCTGCTACACCCACGACCAGCATTTCCCCTGCAACACGGGCACCAATTACGCTACCAATGGCACCCTCGTCCGAGCCAGCTCCAACTGACGCCCCTCCTGCTGCTGTCCTCGGTACACCCTCGCAACAACCGTGGCAATCGAGTCATTTGCACTGGCGCAGGCTACCAAAAGGGCCTCTCGCTGTGGCTACAAGCGGATCAAGGAGTCGAGTTCGCAGGTCCTTGTCCGCCAGACAGCTCCCAATGCTATGTCAAGCAGTACGATCTCCAGTCCGACCGTCCTCATCATGGTTGACTGTCGCGGTGTTTCTTGTAGATGGAAGAATTCGGCTGGGGCGGCGTCGTTTTACCCAGCCAATTTAGCAAACCCGACGGTATGGTCGTGTGCAAAGGGTTTCGTTGACATCGCGCGACTTGGCAGACGTTCCCCGTGTGGCTGCCGCGAATCCGCAACGGCCTCCCGACGCTGCATTTGACGTGTCCTATGGTGTACTCGAACGGCGTCCTGCTGCGCGATGGCATGACTCTGTTCTTTGTCCTGTCACCTGCCCACCTAACGGACGACCCGAATGACGCCAAGCTCCAAAAGTTTTTTGGCCATGCTCCGTACGGCCAACTGCGATTCCAAGCGCGGAAAGCAGCATATTTCGGACCATCCGCTGTCGTCGCCGAGGTAATGGCAAAACATTCCTCAACGGATGCATGTGCATGCCGTGGCGAGTATCGAGTCGAACGATCGATCGAGTTTCGATGGCGTAACATCTTGCGACGAGCTAAGTGGAGTCCAGGACAACGACGGCATCGCCCAAGGCGAGTTTGCTGTGGTCGCGTACCGGTTGGACAAGGGCGTGTCGATTCAAGTCAACGGTACGTCCAGCCATGCGTGGAAACATGAGCACGGCATCTCCGTTGGCCTCCGCGCAGACCTCAAAGCTATCGCTAGGCCAAGGGTTTCGTGCGGAGTCTCCAGTCCAAGCTGGCGGAGCCAAGACCGGACTCCCGATATCGGCCACGGAAGCGACAACTTTGGGCAATGTCAAGTCGTTGTGTGATGCCAATGCGTTCCATGGTATCGCGCGCCGCGACCCGTCCGATGGTCCCAGCACTCTCTGAGCCTTGGTGCACGATAGGCCGAGTTGCCGAAGTGCTCGTGTTTGACACTGTCCTTCCCAACGATGCCCTCGAGGCAGTGCACTCGTATTTGCACCAAAAGTGGGCCATTCCCAGAGGTACATGGCCGCCGCCTGATGGGATTCGCTTGCATGTCAAGGCGAGGGGGGGGGCTCATGTGGTCCGTAGGCGTGCCCCGAGTCGCTCCACCCGATCAAGGCATGCACACGATGTCAGACGACCCTGTGTCACCCGTGTCCGTCGATGAGAGTCACCCTGACACTCCAAAGGAGGAAAGTACCCCACAGGACGAATCCTCGTCTCTGCCGCCGCCAGCTCGAAAGAGCGGTGGAGGTCGTGAATCGTTCAACCGAGACGACGTGTTCAAGTGGCAGCCGTCGTCGGATGCGGATCCAGCCCAAGTCGCGCTGTGGAAGGAAGCGGTGGCCGAGAAAATCCGCAGCGTGGAGCGCTTTCAGTTTGGTGGCAAGATCCTTCATGACTTCATCGACTCGCTCAAGACAGAGCTCAACGATCTGCGCGACAACATGTTTGGCTAACGGACGTCCCCATATAACGAAATGTCTCTGTGGTTACAATTGAGCGAAACCACCAATTTTACTCGAAATTGCGATAAATCGCGTAAAAGGCGTGAACTATTTGGGTAAAGTGGTGGCTGGCTGTTCACCCCGTACGATGACATGCAGATCAAACGTGACTTGAATTCAGTATAGTCGTTGGACTTGTCGATATCGAGGACGGACGACATGGGCCGATCCAGGTCCAAAGGTGGATGCGCACAGCCCACAGGTGCCTTGACGGGGATGCGCCCTTATGCGCGTATGCACAGTCGGTTCTGCGAGACAGGGGTAGATGCCATCACCGTCGGTGCAATCCTTGCACCGTAACACAGACGCGTCAGGATTTGGGCGTTTGTAGGTGCGGTCATGGATCGCCAACGGATGGAAGTGCCTCGGTGTCAGGATGCAGAGCACGGGCGATCCATGGTTGCGTGTTGGCGCGCCTTTTGCAAACATGGCGTTTTGGCTGTAGCTTGGAATGGGGGCGGGCCGACGAGCATTGCCGTGTGGTCCCTGCCACAGTTTGAGCGAGCTAAGCCCTGTACACTCCATGGCTTGCGTACAAGGATACCCGCCACAGTGTCGTGGTTAGCCTCCCTTGGAGCCATCTGAATCCCGCACGCATCGACGTCGAGCGAGACTGGCGTGGTCAGGATTGCACCTGGGAGCAAATCACTACGATAAGAAAATTCCTCGATCAATTCGCATGTGGGACTTCCCCCCCTGTAGGAGACCAGATTTCTCGGCCTACATCATTGCTTTTTCCGCGGCGAGACATACCGCTGATTCCATCGTTCCTGGATGGCATCCTCGTACTCCCCCAATGGCATGACCGAGGTCATCGTCACCGGGCGCAACTCGTTGAATGGTCGGGCCACCTCGTCCACATCGACGTCGTCGTCGACAACTCACTACCTGCGCCGAGCACGCAATTCCCACTCTGGAGTGGGCCACGACGTCGGGATCGTATCCACTGCTGGTTTCACCTACGACAGCATCCTTGTCATGGACAAGGTTGTTGTGAGCCACGGCACGGTGTACTACCTCTTGCATGTGGCGTCGCAAGCGTACCCACTCGAGTCGTACACAATTCGGCGCAGGTACAACGACTTCAAAACGTTCCACGCCGCTCTATCTCGACACATGACCCCCGAGCCATTCTCGCTCTTCAAGAATGGCCAGAACTCGACCCACTCACCGGCCAACTCGATTGACGAAGACCGTGCGTTTTCGTTTTCGCCGTCGTCGCATGGGCCGTGGCAATATCTTCCCACCGACCTCGCCTCGATCGACAAGGATGCGGCAGCGACAGAGACAGCTGCTTCTTCGTCTGTCGCTCCAGACGTGGACGACGACGGTGTTGTGTACTTGCCGCACATGCCTCACGGCGGACTTTTGACCATCATGACGTCCAAGGAATCGCTTGTCCGCAGCCGCATCGCACAATTCAATCGCATCCTGCAAGCCGCGCTCGACCACGCATCGCTCGCTGTGGCGGATGCATTGAAAAACTTCATCAAGGAAGCGCCCGGTGGACACGGGAGTCGCCCCGGTTCGTTTGTCGACCCGACGTCGCTGCCCTTGACGTCTGGTCCTCGCCGAAGCACCACGGCGTCTCCTCCGACGTCGTCACAGTACGTGTCGTTGCGCGATTATGTCGTTCCCGAGCTGTGCGTGAAACTCGAGCGCGAAGCTCGGCGGCGGACCGCGTCCACGAGTCGCTCGCGTGCGACAACAGACGACCTCTTGTTTATCAGCCGAGACAGCACCGCATCCACGACGTCTGGAACAACGCCCGCGTGTGTTGCATAGCGAATCGCTTTCACTAACTTAGATATATATATATTTGGTCGAGGCCATGCGCGATGCTGTCCCGACCATCCTGGTTCCACAGTCGGTGGGTGCAGCCAAGCAGGCTGGATGAACCACGTCGCACAATCGACGGAGCTCCTTTTCAATGCTGCGCATCCCCAACATGGCTCTCGACCCCCATGGTTCGCGCCCTCGACCACCGTCCCATCGTTGGTGCATCCCACATACAGCCCCGCCCTGGCTGCTCGCACGCCTTTGGATCCGCCTCCCATCCCCAGTCGTATTCGCAGTCGACGTGGCAGTGTGCCCCCTCTGCTCCTATCGTCCATGTTGCTGCCTTGTGTCACGACGATTTCGTTGCGAATTCTCGTTCGAGGTGCCGACTTCCGACAGAAAACCCGCCGTCAAACCGCCCGCGCCACGTTTTTAAAACCCCATGTGTTTGCATCCTGCTAATGGGCGGACGTGTTTCTGGTTTGGATTGCATGAACGGCTTTCAAAGGACGGGACACGTCCATGAACGACCGAGCCATGCCATCCTTCCGCTACGACCTCGACACGAGCATGGCCAGCGGGGCCCCCACATAGAGATGCTTGGTAGCGCTCAGACCGCCAAGCTTCTTGCGATCCATGCAGTTGCTACTTGTTAGTACAACACGGTATTTGGTGTAGCATGGCGCTCCAACGGGCGGTACGTAGGCTCTTTGCCTAGACATTCCCGCTCGTTACATGGTCTCGAGGATGCCTCCACAGGCTAGAAGAACGCCACGACTAGACGTACCGACGCGCCACAAATACGAATCCACTGCCATGATCGTGGCACCGGATATGCCACGATCCTCGCGCAATGCCGTGAGAAGTCGGTCGCACGCAACAACGGCCCCCGCTCGCAACTCGATTTCTTCCTCGCCTTCCGTTCATTCAATGTGAGAATGGGCGAGTCCGACGGATTGATGTGGTGCTTACTGCCAAGGACGAGGGGTTGGCCGTCGGCGATCGACGCGGCCAGCGCTGGCGCGTACTCGAGGATCCCTACTGCGTGCAGCACACACGGCAAGACCTACGTGCACACCGATCCACGAGGTCATTCGTGTCCCCGCGTAGACATGGCTCGAGCAACTCGTACATTGTCACTGCAGGCTGTGAGCAACTCGATGTCGAGAAAGTTGAATCGCGGGTCTGTGGTCTACCGTGCACACGATTGTCATCGCCATGGCACCTTCATGAACAGCTCGCGTCGAATCTTGCAACTGCCCTTGCTGCGCGCATCATGCAGATAGTTTCCGCAACATGCCAGCGAAAAGGCCGATCTAACGTACCCCAAAGCGGCGATACAAGTTGGAGGCCAGCAACTGTGCTTTCTTCAGAATCAAGACATCCCCGTGAACGTCGCGAAACGCTGGAAACGTTGTGGCCAGCGCATCCACAAGCGTCGCTGCTGATGGTGCCACAGCTGCATTCTCGGCAGTCCCAGCATTCAGATGAGCCAGAACGAAGGCGCCAATGTCGTCATAGCCGCGTTCGAGACAGAGCGACCCCGTTTCTGTCAGCGCCTGTACAATCATCAGGGATTGCTCGTGATGACTTGGAGATGGACCATTTGAAGGTGATCTACCTGATGAATGCTTTCTGCAAGTGGCTTCAATGGGCCCTGCATTACACCAATGAGTCGGAACGGGTGAGAGACCTAGAGAGATGGACATACGGGCTTCGAGATGTAAATTCCAGGACTCAATTGCTCATCGCGTTCGAGCGGCAATGAAAAGTAGTTGGCGACCGAGTCTAGCGACAGCCCACGCAACGTCTTGGCATCGAGCTGAGAACTCGAGATGTACATGCCAATTACGCCAAACATCTAGTAAGGCGAGGGTCAGTCAGCGTGTCCAAGGTTCACGTGTCGTGGCAGTGGCATCACCATAGTTTCGTGCGCGCCCTACGAGCTAGCATAAGTCCTTCGTCGGTGACGATTGCAGCTCTTCACCAAACAATGCGTACCCGGTCGCAGTACTGATGCAAAGGTTTGCGGTAGCCGCTGCCAAAGTTGAGAAGGTCCACGAGTGCTGAACAAACACGCGTGTTACGTCTGAGCTGATGAGGCCGACGTACCAAGGAAATTCACTTCCTCCTCGATCGACTTGAACGACAACGGATATCGAATCGGCTCTCCGAGTTGGTCAAACTGTTCGCGATCAAGCCCTGCCACGAATTCAGAGATCTTGTCGCCGTTGATCGACACGTGCTTGGCGCGTTCGCGCATGTACGTCGCACAGCTCTCCCGCACGTTCTCGGGCGTGTACAGCGTTGAATTGGTCCCCATGACCGTTGTCCCAGTGGCGAATATGGATTCCTGCAAGTTCATGTCAAGTCCTCTATACCCCTATACTCTCGTATTACTAATAATTTTCTAAAATCGATTAGAAATATGCATTTGTGCAGTAGACGTGTACCTGCCCACATCCCGTTGAATTCAAGCCGTGATGTGAAGTCGAATGACTCTGCCCATCATATGCGTCCGCAACGGCAGTTCAGCCAAGCTGGTAAAATAATGTTTTTCAGCCAGCTATGCCAAACGGACCAGGAAGGAGAAGCTCGTGTGCTCGTCGCATTCACACTTGAGTGCTTATAAACGGTCAACCGAGAGAACTTGATCTCATTTTACACGAGACCAAGAATGCCCAGGTTATATGTGGCCAAGGGAAAACTCTTCGGAGCGGCTGTGATTGGTTCATTGGGCTGACAGGGTATCATTTGATTGGCTGATTCATCCACCACAAGAAGACCTTTATTTGCGAAATCCAGGCGTCGATGGCAGACCGGGACAGTTTGGTGGCGGCTGTGGCACGCCAAGGCGCGGCAGTGCGTGAGCTCAAGAAGAACGGTGGGGCCGCCGCGGACATCACAGCGGCCGTGGTCGAGTTGAATGCGTTGAAGGCCCAGTTGAACGCGTTGGCCGAACCCGTCGGGATCGTGGTCAACAAGAAAGCACTCGAGGATCTATTGTTGCGCAAGATGTTTGTCGTCCCGTCGTTTGAAATATACGGTGGTGTCGGTGGCTTCTACGACTTCGGCCCCCCCGGTGCTGCGGTCAAAACCAACTTGCTCAACTTGTGGCGTCGCCACTTCCTCTTGGAAGACGACGTGCTCGAAATCGAGTGCACCAACATCATGCCGGAAGTCGTGCTCAAGACGTCCGGCCACGTCGACCGCTTCACTGATTTGATGGTCAAGTGCACCAAATCTGGAGAATGCTACCGCGCGGACAAGCTCGTCGAGGATTTCATCGAGAACCTCCTCGCCAAGAATGCATCCGCGCTGACGTCAGAGGAGCAGGAAAAGCACCGACTCGTCGCGACCAAGGCCGAGAGTTTGACGCCCGACGAGATGCACGCCGTGATCCAAGAGTACGGCATCGTGTCGCCCGGCCATGGCGCGGTCTTGTCGGCGCCGGTTCCGTTCAACCTCATGTTCCAGTGCCACATTGGCCCCGAAGGGCACAACGTGGGGTATTTGCGCCCGGAAACCGCACAAGGAATTTTCCTCAACTTTCGCCGGCTGCTCGAGTACAACGCGGGAAAAATCCCCTTTGGTTGCGCGCAAATTGGGAATGCTTTCCGGAATGAAATCGCCCCTCGCGGCGGGCTCATCCGCGTCCGCGAGTTCCAACAGGCCGAAATTGAATGGTTTGTCCACCCCGAAGACAAGTCGCACGCAAAGTTTAGCCAGGTGGCGTCGCAGCGCTTGACGTTGTTTCCCAAGGCAAACCAGTTGACGACGGGCAAGACGGTACGTGTCTCTCGTCGGGATATTCTTTGTTTTCACGTTTGTTTTGGTCGGGAACCTTCCCTCGTTTCCCCGTAAATTGTTCCCAACACGTAACACGAGGGGATGAATAGGTCGTCTTGACTGTGCGTGAAGCCGTCGACCAAAAGCTGATTGCGAACGAGTCGCTTGCGTACTATTTGGCCCGCACGGCGTCGTTTGTGGCGCAGTTGGGCATTGACATGGACCGCGTGCGCTTCCGCCAGCACTTGGACACGGAAATGGCGCATTATGCGTGCGATTGCTGGGACTTGGAAATCCAATTGAGCACGGGATGGGTCGAATGCGCCGGCCACGCCGATCGATCGTGCTACGACTTGCAAGTGCACGCCGCCAAGTCCAAGGTTGAAATGGTCGGTACGCTCAAGTACGACGCGCCCCGTGCCGTCGACGTCGTCGACATCAAGGTTAACAAAGGCAAGGTCGGCAAGGCCTTCAAGAGCGACATGGTGCTTGTGAACAAAGCGTACGTTTACCGCCTCGTAGACATTGGCATGGACTGGGTGATGCGTAGATTGGAAGCTCTCCGTGTAGACGACGCCGCGGCACTTGCGTTCGAAGCCACTCTGGCTGAAGCCGGCACGGCCGACCTTCACGTCGACGGGAAATCGTTCACGTTTGCCCGTGACATGTGGAGTGCGGCCAAGGTGACCAAGATGGTATCTGAAGAAAAGTTTGTCCCGAGCGTGATTGAGCCATCGTTTGGGGTCGGTCGCATCCTCACGGCGGTCTTTGAACACACGTTCTACGCTCGCGAAGGCGATGAAAAGCGAGGTGTGATGGCGTTCCCTGCAGTTATTGCCCCCATCAAGGTACGATCGCACTAGTGGACCAGGTCGTCGGTGACGTGGTGGATCATAGGTGGCGGTGCTGCCTCTGAGCAACGCCAAGGAATTCAACCCGGTCGTTCAGGACTTGGAGAGAAAACTGCGCGCGGTATGTCGCTCTCTCAGTGTGTGTGCTGCTATGTGGAAACGAGGCGGCCTTGTTTTCGTGTGACGGAATTAGTCCACGTTTGGTTTGGCTGCGTGTCAACGACTTTGCTCAAGGACAATGCTTGTGTGGGGAGTGTATTCATGTCGAGAAGCGACGAACGGGCTTCATGACTGACCTTGAACGAAGTGCTGACCACGGGTGGTTGTGCAGGCGGGCATCCAAGCCAAGAGCGACACGTCGGGGGTCGCCATTGGCCGCAAGTACGCGCGTGCCGACGAACTCGGTATCCCGCTTGGTGTGACGATCGATTTCGAAACGCTCCAGGATCATGCCGTGACGGTACGAGAGCGCGACTCGTGCGCCCAGATCCGAGTGCCTCTCGCGGACGTGGTGAACCACTTGCGATCGGTGGTCGAAGGTCACGCGACGTGGGAGACTCTGACGGCGACGTACCCTGTTTTGGAAGGCAAGAAAGAATAAGAACCGATTGATCTTCCAACACGACTGTGCACGTCCATCGAAGGAGTTCTCGTGCCTTCGTTTGATGTCGTCGTCGTCTTCGCCATGCTCGATGCCGCGTCGACGAGATCGAGTCCTTCAGGGACGCTAAATAGTGTATGCACTGTAATTACTGTTCTTTCGCCATGCAACGAAGGGATTCTCGTGGCTGCAACCGGAAAATGCCATTTTGGGCTGAATAATGCTATTTCAGGCAAAATGCCATTTTCATAATGACTGGGAAAAGTTGGCGAAATAGTTCAAGTGGCATTTACACGACCCAAATAGGCATGTACTTCACACCGGATCCTGGATATATTTGTACGTGCAAGCACCATTTTTAGGCAACGTCGAAGTACGCAGTGGTTCTTGGATGCGCCGCATGGAGAGCTGTCAAAGAGGCATGCCATACCTCGACCATGACGGGCAAAGGGTGGGTTGACGACCTCCTCCATGGAATCCCACGGTGCTTTCGAAACCTTCTACGCAAGCTACCAAGCACGTTTGGTCTGCTGCATTGGTATACAGTACTACAGTAGTCCCCCAAGGTTTGCGAACTGGTATAAATTAATACCTTGCTCAACTTAATCAATAACTGCATCCAATGGTCTCTTAAAATGAATTCTTGTTTGTTCTTTGTTTCTTTAATTGCCTTCAGAAACGTATATTCTTGAAGTGTTGCAAAACTTGGGGGATCACTGTAGTACTTGATATACGGGTGTTCATTTTTCGCTCTGTGGGTTTTTGGACATTATGACGTTTTCAAAATTAACTTCAATTTTGCATCGTCGTATACGAGTATGGAATATTCCTGCATGTTGCCAGACGGGCCGCTATAAAGGACAATCTTCCGGATAACACCGGAAAGCAGTCCTTTTCCCTCTGATGCATGATGACCTGGCCGAAGTACGGGAGTGATGGAAACTCTGGCCATGTCTCCCCGAGGCATGTCACGGAAATGTTGCGTCCAGCATCACCAAACGATGTGGGTGAAGGGCATCCCATCTCCGTCCGAGCCAATGACGCGCTGCTGCACCTTCCAGCTTCGGTGCATCACCAACACCATTCTCGACGTCTTCGACTCCTCAGTTTCGTTGCAGTCGGAGTCTGTGCAGCCGTGGCACTTGCGTGCATCCTCTTCTTTCCTCGATTGTCAACTGTCGCAGCCGAGTTATCCGACAAAAACAAGGATGGAAGCTCGTGTTCCCTCGACAAGGTTGGATTCCATGGGTACGTTCATCGCGGGACGCAGTTGTCAAGTCCTGACACTTCCGTGATAGAACGACCCCTGCAGGCACGCCATTCTACTTTGCAAGGGCGGCTGTTCCGTCTTCATCCGCCAGTAGCTCGTCCTTTCCATTGCTGGTGCATTTCTCCCACTCCGATCCACCACCTGAGCTCCTTTCTTGTACTGGAACAATCGATGCCTCCACACTGAGCCGAAATCCTCGAGCGTTGAACCGAGACGCACACGTGTTGTATCTTCGACAAGACGCTTCGTCAAGCTACGACATGCATGCATTCCTCACAAATACCCTCCGTACGGCGAACGTGACCGCGAAACGAGAAGTTCGTCGCATAGTCGTCGGTGCAGCGACCTCTGAAAGTTTTCGGTCGCTGTGTGTAGATTATCATTCTTGGTGACGATTCGAGTGTATTCTACGTGGCATTTCAAGTCCACACAGCCAACTTTCGCGTCGCTCAGCTAGCCTCGACAAAGTCAACGTTTCTGAATGTGGCCGGGGTGGCCTTTTCCCCTCCTGCATCCACCCTGTGGCCGTCGAAGAGGTCGTCGACAAAGGCGGCACTGGGGCGGCTCCTGGATGCTGGTGTTCGCGTCGTCATCTCCGTGCAGATGGACAACGAAACGACCGCCAACACCACCAGTGGCCACTATTACACGTCGATGGTTTGGTCCCGGTCCATTTCATGGTAGGTCGACCCACCTCCGCGGGCCATCGCTTGCGACAGAACTTGTGCATCTCCGCGGTTTGGAGCATGGTCTTCCTGTTTATTTTACTGGAATCTTGTCCGCCTCGTATTGAAGGAGTGTGACGTCGAGTGCAGCTTCCCGCACGGCACGCGCATGTCATGCGTTGATGAGTCGGTTGTAGGGATGGCGAGGCAGGTTTTGCCAAATTGACACCCGCCAACGACACGTCCGTCGTGGCAACATTGGATGCAGGCGACGGGGTGTTTCGCCTCCGCCAGAATCGAAACTTCGCTGTGGCATATCAACTGCCGCGACCGATGAATCCCCACACGTTACTCGACTTGGTTCGACAACCGCACGCACGACTTGTCCATGATGCATAACGTCAACGAAAATCTTGTATCGCACCACGTTGTTGCGATGGGGCTGCTGCAAAGCAAACGTTTGTCGCTCTCACCTAGTGGAATGTGGCGAAGGGGCGATCCATGCCGCCGCGCAAATGCACATACTTCCACACGCGACACACGAAATTTGGCGCATCTTCAGGCAACACTTCGCTTGGACGTCCGGCTTTCGTGTGAACAGTGCCAGGCACCGCATGGAACAACCTTCCAGCGATATGGGCTCCCTTGTAGCCACGACAGTGCTCAAGCAGACAAACAGCATGAACGCCCAGGCCAAGCACCTCCTCACCGCGCCGACCCTCGTTCCTCAACGACTGGATTCAGCTCCTCTTGCTCGCTGGACGCCTCACCACGTGGCCGACAACAAGTGGCCTGATGTAAGGAGCAAGCTTAGTCCAAAGTCAGGTCATTGTGCGATTGTCGACGGACAACGAGGAGCCTTCGATCTTTTTATCGATCGAAGACGTCACAGGACATGGGTGGGTCGTCAAGCACATCATAAGTTAGCGTCTTTTAGTGCCGAACGACATGGCTAAAAGGTGTATTCGCCGTGGGTTTCGAACGAGTCTGTTTTGGCCGCCAATGTTGGTAGGACTTGCGGTTTCGGAGGGGTTCGACTGCCGCAGGGTCGGCCCGCTCCTTCGTCGCGGCGATGGGGAGGCGGCGCCATGATAAAGTTGTCAGCAATGTGCTGCTGCTTCGATGACGCCGACACGTTGCTGTGGCGACTCCCACCGCTGGCTTGGCTATACCGCCCGTCGTCGTTGTCGGGCGACGAGTATCCGTCCTCGGACATGTCGGACGGGCGATAATGCGGCTTGGACGCGTAGCTCGAGCGGGAACCGCATGTATGTTGATGTTGTTGTGGTGGGAGCTTTTGCATATGAGTAGACCGGCCAGCCCCACCTGTGGTGTTGGCGCGAAATACCTCAAGGAGGGCGTCGACCCAGTCGTTCATTTCGTGCTCAGTGCTTGCAGCAACCAGGAGACGGCGGTCTGGAGTGTTGATTGCAATGCGCCAGATTGTGGACGCAGACCCTCCTGTCTTCATCGAGTCTGCGGGCATGATCTCGAGCGTATCTTCGCCGCACATTTTGAGATTGATGTCGCCCTTGAGCTCGCCATCTTGCACAGTGAAGTACCGAAGCGCATATTGGGTCAGCTCAAAGTACCGCGGCTTCCAGTTCCTCCGCTTCAGCAGGCCTCCACCAGAGCCCTTTTTGAACAGCACGCCCGACTTGACGATCACTTCGCCCTGTTTGTTGCGGCGTTCCATCGACACTTTATGACTGACGGGGGTTTTCATGACCAGCTGCTCCATTTGATTGGCTGCTTTTGGATGTAGTTGTCTTTGATTCGTCGAAAGCATGGAATGTTTTGATTTTTGTCCAATCACCGCTTCGAATTGTGGCCACGCACAACACCACCGCGAACGTGGGTGGTGTGCGTGCCACTACTAATCCATGGGTTCAATCAAAGGCGCACCAAGCCGACCCGCGGCATGGATTGCTACACCAAACTTGGCGTCGCACAGCCTTGTTTGGATCGAAACACGTTTGTTCATGCAGAGACAACGCGAAACACACGTCTCACGATTCCAACATAAAACGATCCGTGAAAACATTCCATCATGACGCCGGTCCAAATCAAGCCACAACGGGGCGGCATCGTACCCAGGTGCGTCCGCAATGCTGCAGCGCCTCGTACACCACAGCACGCCGTGACCAGAGACCGTCGACGTCGAAGGGGGCCATGCATCGTGGGCACCATACCCTGCAGAATAGCAACATCAGTCCAGGTTAGATTGTCGGGTGTGGACATTTCGCATTTTTTCCACATATCTCATTTACGATAGGTGCACGTCACATCGAGAAGTTTGATCGATATATATATATCGGACGACAGCGACAGAATTGGTCAAAATAGTGAACCGGGAGCAGCACTCCACCTATCAATATTTCTATGCTTTTATGGCAATTCTATTGAAAACCAATTGAGTTATAGAGGTTTTGAGTATATGTTTGTGGTACAGTGAATCCATGAACACTCCATAAATCAATAAAATTGTACGTAGAGCATGATACCCACCATGCGAAACCGAGTGGCCCTACAATGTTGTGTTTTTCGACAGATTCAAGTCAGAAATATTCATTTGGACAGGTATATGGCGGACGTTGGTCTTGTACATTGTATGCAGATCGTGTAACGCTTCGATGATACATATTCATTCTCAAAGGTTTCTACCGGCGGTTCCACAATGCGATCTTGGGTGCAGTGTCGAATTTTGACAAGGTCCAGGCGTCAACACGATGGCAGTCCAGGGACCCGTGGGTGCAACGAACGGCGATGAAAGTTCCTTGGCGATGCTTCCCGACCGCGTCTCAGTCGACTTTAATGCGCCCAAGGTATGTGTGTGCGATGCGTGCGCGACTCGTGACATCCGAACGTGAGGATGTCTTGTCCGGGTTTGTGTCATTGCTACACTCGAATGTGTCATCATCGTCGTTCCCATTGGCATGCAGTGATCGACTTCTTACACTAGACTGTCGAGATTGGCGAGAGACCAGCAGATAAACAACAAACCGGCGGGGATGTGGACGTCGTGAACGGGTACATGCACGACACGCAAGCTGGTCGAATTCTTATCGATCGACCTCATTCTCGTTACACGTAGAACCTTCCGCGATGCCGTGACTATCTATGACGATGAAAAGCAAGCGATCCTGTCGTTCCTAACCTACGTACGCATGTCAAATCGTGCACGATCGGTCATGGTCGCAACTCTGACATAGATTCACGACAAGCCGCATGATGTGGCAGCGTGGTCATTGGAGACGTCGTCGCGACGGCGAAGGCAAGCTGCGTCATCCGCACGAAAGGTTACACGTCTCCTTCTTTGATCCCTTGACGCACGACCACGTTTGTTCTTAGAATTGCCGCCCGCCCACATTTCATCCGCATCCCAACTCCATGTCTCCAGTGTCGCCGACGACCTCGTCGTCGGCACCAAGTTTGCTTGACGGGCTCTACGGCCACAAACGCAAATTGGGCGTGGAGAACCTCCACGACTCGGACAGCAGCAGCAACGATGGCCACACCTCCCTCTCGCACACGAAAAGGTTGAAAATGGAGCGATCTCCGTCGACTTGTTGCATTTGCCACAACGACAGCCCTCACGTGTCGCCCACCACCACGATCGACTTCCACGACATGATTGCATGCAACAATAAGTTGTGTCGAGACCCGACAAACTGGTATCATTCTTCGTGCGTGGGACTGCTCGCCCCACCGGACACGACTTGGTACATTGCGGCCACCGTCGATATCTGGACACGGTTCACGTTGTGCCTAGGCACTGTCCGAACTGCACACGTGATACCAAGGGTGACATCCTCCCCGAGAACTTGTTTCGCAAGCCAGCGCTGAGCATCACCTACGGCGACATGATCGCGGCAGCGCTTCGCGCGACTGCGTGTGGCGAAGTACGTTGGTCGAATCGCTGAACGGCACTCGTGCGCATGGATCACGCAAGATGTCTAGGGCACATTCAAAGAAATTTGCGAGTTCATCGAGCGTCGATATGAGAGCCAACTGAACTGGAAGCTTGAGAGGTATCCACACGTTGGTTGCAACTCGCGGGTGCTGACAGGTCCTGTAGCGATCAGCGCAAGTCGCCCGTGTGGAAGTCATCCGTTCGCAAGATTCTGTTTTCCAACAACCGGTTCGCCCGCCACCCATCGTTGAAAGGCGTGTTTTGTCTCGTGGTCCAACCACCGGCAACGCCGTCCCCATTACCAGCGTGAAGTCGTTCCCGGGCCGTTGAGTCCGTAACTAGTGTATTTTATAGTTTTTCCGTCTAGATGTGCCGAGCAGAGTGTTCTCGGCTAGCCAAACTGTGCCTACCCTTGGTGGTGTCATGCCCTTCGACCACAAGTCAAAGGCCCCGCAAGAAACACTCGAGGCTTGGCACGACTACACTTCGTCGCCATGTCCATATAGGCCATGAAGACGTGAGAAAGGAAAGCATCGCGTTGTGCCGCCAGGCTCACGTTGGAGCCATGCACGATCGCCGTCGTTGACTGTCCATGCATACGATAGCATGTGATTGAGTGAATTGCAGTTTGGGTAGCTACGTAGATGCTCCGCGCCCGCGAGACGACGGATCGACGGGGCGTTAGCAGGAATCGTCGAGGACGAGATGGCAATCGGGGAACTGCTTGATCGTGTTGAGCCATAGGTCAAAGCGCGATTTGTCTGGAATCTTGAACGTGACGCTTGTGCCATGTCGACTCACGAGGCGAATGTGGCCATGCTCGGGGGTGGCAAACACGGCTTTGAGGGAGAAATGGGTCCACTCCTTGAGCTTCGGGCACGCTTCGTAGCAGTCGAGGGAGCAATCGGTGAGGACATACCAGTTGTACGCGTCGCGGAACGTGCCCTTCGTACGCAGGGTGCCCGTGAGCGTCGCGTCAAAGAAGTCGACGTCCGTGCCACTTGGTAGGGCGAGGCCGCTCACGTTGGCATGGATCGTGCCGTGGCCTGTCTTTGTTTGAAGGGCCGCCAAGGTCTTGGTGATGTTGTCTACCCACTCATTGCGCTGGTCGGAAGAGGTTGTGTACAGGGTCTGGGCCCCCTTTGTGGTAGAAAACAAGGACGGCGACGGATTTGTCTTGTCCGGGATGAACTGAAATGCCGTCGCATCGGTCGGGTCGGCGACAACAGCCGTCTTGTTCGTGAGCGGGACCGACCACTTCTTGGAACACGCCACGTCCGCCGCGGACCGGGTGAAATACACACGCTTCTTGCCAAGGAATAGCGCGTGGGGCTCCCAGGCACCGGTGAATCCGTCGCGGACGACGGCTGTCGTCGCACACTGGATCGTTTTGTGCGGCGTAAAGGGAACCCGCCGGCGCGGGCGCAACGTCGGCAGGGGCATCTTGTGGTCGATATAGCGCGTCAGGATGTCCACGACCTAGTCGTCGACGTCAGCAAACAATCGTGGGTGCGGGCACGCACCGGGCGGCATATCGCGAGCAGCGTGATCGTGACAACATCTTCCGACGACCAGTACACGCTGTGGGCCAGCGGCGCGTACAACGTGTCGACAGGGCCTTCGAGAAACTTGCGACGCACTTGAAAGTCGATGCGGGCGCCTTGCCACTCATTGCACAACGGCGCGGTGTCGGTCAATTTGTCGTACGTGAGCACCATCTCGCCAAACGTTTTGTTTTTGAACGTGTCAGCCTGGAGGCCGCCCCACGCGTTAGATCCCAACGTGATGCCAGCACCACGTACTGGCTGGAGCGCAATGGCCGGGTACGACGACATGTCGACGTCCACGAGCGGCTCGACGCGGTACGCGATCGGGTCGGCGGGGTGAAACAGGTTGAAGTAGTGGTTCACGTTCGGCCGGCGGAGCCCGCCCGTGCAAACGCCGTCGTGGATGTCGAGTGCGCCGCGCGACAAGGCAAAGATCGGGACGGGGGACCCGACGCAAAAGAGGTTCTCGACCGGGAACGACAGGCCCGGAAACACGACGCCGTTGCTCCCGACTTGGCCCGCGTCGTGGGTTAAAATGTCGTACGTGATGAGTGTTCCGAGCGAGTGGGCAAAGATCGAGACAAACCCTTGCCAGCCTGCGCGCAGCACAAGGAGAACGCAGCGCCGTGACGATTGTTGTTTCGATCGGGCGTACCTGGGTTCGCCGCCATGAACGACGTGTACTTGTCGTTCATTTGCTTTGTCACGGTGTCCACAATCACCTGACCATACTTGGGCGCGGAATAGTACAACACGTCCATGATGAGGCGCTTGTTCACGTCGCGCAGTCTACCGAGGCCTCGGGATACCAACCATCCTCAACACGAATTGGTCCTACTTTTTTGACGCCTCGGGTGAAATTGTGTCAAATACGCTGTCGACGCCCGAGTCGTGAACTTCCGCGTGCCATTCAATCGGGTGGATTTCCAAGGACAGTGGAATTTCCCTGTACACACATGCGATGGTCATGTGGTCCCTGGAATGTCGCATCAGGCACGCACTTGGAGAAGAGCGAGTGGCGCATCGTGTTGAAGAGCTCGCGAAAGTTGCCGCTGTCGCCCGTGCTGCCTTTGTCGTTGTCGTATGACTCGACGACAAAGTCGTTGTGTTCGCCAATGCCGTGCACGATAAACATCAAGTGGTTGATGTTTTCCAGCAAAATCTACGCCACCCCCCACGAGCGCTTTCATCCGGCGCGCAGGGCCAAAGGGTGGCGCAAGGACGTACCTCGGTCGGAAACGATTCGGCTTGGACAACGGCCGGGTCGTCCGTCGCTTCGAACTCGGCTTCTGTCTCGTGCACGTACACGCCCGAGTCGACCGCCTTGGTGGGTGCTTCGTCGGCTTGCTGTGTGGGCGCTCCGGGGGGAGCCAGAGATGCTTCCTGGACCCCAACAGCGGGCTCTTCCACAAGACGTTTCTCGTCGTGCTTCACATCATCTTGAATGATTTGCTTGTCCGTTGTCAACAGTGCGATCGCGGAGCCCGCGGCGCTTTGAATTGCGCTCAAGACTTGAATGGTGGCAGCTAAGTTGGAGTCGCCCACCGACACTTGGTTCGACTCTTCCGTCGGCATGCCTCCGAGAAGGACGTCGACGGCCTTGGCGAGAGCTCCAGCGTAGCTCGAGACATCTTGCACGAGTCCCTGGAACGCAGCCACGGACGCACTTGAGATCAACGTTGTCGAAGGTACAGATGCGATTTTCGCAGCTTCGACTTCTACACCCATGTTTGAGCTCTTGTCGCAGTGGTTGGATCACAATTGAATTGTGGAGGGCCATGGCAGAGCTCGAATGTTATCGTCCGGCCAGCAACAAGATCTTTTTCTTGTTGTCGGAGCTGGGAGCGTCAGTATAAAACGAACCACTAGACGTTTCGTGCGTGTGACCAGTGCCAACGGGCCTCTTTACCAACCACAACAAACTATTTTTGGTGAAAAGGAGGCGGAGATCGTGTTCGTGATGACGATAGCGTGGAAAGAATGCTCGATCACGTGTTCGATTGGGAGCAAGGCAAGAAGCAGTTCATAGCACAGCAACTACGCGTCATCCCCGTCGAACCAAAGCATATTGCGTTCGCCATCGCGTAGAAGCATGTAGGGGTTTCGTTGTCATGCTCACTTGCGAGGAGGGAAATTATTCACCCACCCTTTTCCTTTATCTGGTTGTGACACTCCACTCTTGTGTGACGTAGACGGGTTTCAATGCCGCAGCTCGTGCCAAAGTTCCAACAGCAATCCCGTTTTGAACTGCTCACGCCAACTTGACCTTGACCAAACGTCACGGTGACCTCCGCCCATGGGTCTCGAAATGCCATTGGTGGAATGGATTGGGGGTTTCAGAATTAGACCAATCAAATTCGTCAAGCGCTCCTGGCCATCCATATGTTGCCATTGTTACACGTCAGCGCAACCACCCAAACGACTTCACGTTGAGCAGCATCGACACGACTCATTCTTTCATCTTGCGCAAGTGTCGGGCATCACACATCTGTCGTTCCAGTCGAGATCGAGTTGTAATTTACGTTGTGGCGTGCTGGAATCTGTCCAGACAACTCACGGTGCCGCGCCCGACTGCACGGGTTGGAGCATTGCGAATACTTTCTGCAAGCTCTCAATTCCACCGGCAGCATCACCGTGACCACGTCACACCGTACGAGAGTAACTTTAATGCGAGGAGTTCATGCCCCGTCGCTGCATATTCCGACGCCAAGCGAAACTTTGCAGCGTGAGAAATGGGCGCGGCAACTGTATTAATCGTCACCTCGGCGTCGAACGTGCCGGTCATCCTTGGACACTCGATGCGGTGACGGCGATCTGTCTCGCTTCGATCCTGTATTTGACACGTCATCCTTGCCACCCAACGACGCGATCGTGGTCGTCGCCGAAGGCTTTGCCGCCCCCCCGCCATATTTCCTCAAGTCGTTGGCACTCATGGCTCCGTTGCGTCTTGCTTGGAACGTCCCTTGACACGCTTCAAACACCACCTGCTGCGCGGCCGGCGGCCATCGCACCAACAGGTCAGGCATCACCATCGAGTCGTCCCATTCCTTTCCGTCCCTGAACCACTCAGGATGGTCGTCAAAGTGACTCTTCAGTCGTTTCTCTTCCGCATGGCGCAGCAATGCCACCGGATGCCATTCATCCATCTAGTACGCCAACCCAACGTTAGGAATTGCATCATTCTCGTCCACACATGTGCGCTCTACGTGCTCGTTTGGACCGCAGTGCAAGTCCTCAAGGCGCCTTTGCAGCTCAAACACCACTCGTGGGAATCAACGTAGGTCGAGCACACTGCATTCCAACCACCACACGTGGCAACTGGTCGAGGTGCATCCCCATCGAGACCACTCCAGTCGAAACAAAACACGCACGCGGACGACGACTGACCTTTTTCTGGTACACTTTTTCTTGATCCGACAACGACAGCACGTCGCGAGCATGGTCCAATGTGGCGAGCACCTCTGGAAGTGTGGACGAGAACCAAGTCATGAAGGCATGAAATGGCTTCTTCTTCGTTGATATCTACGCCCTGCACATGAGTCCGTCGCAGCAGCAGATCGCGCAGACCTGGTCGAGGGGGAACTGGTCCAGGGCTTGCGTCAAGCCATCTCGAAAGGCTTTGCGAGCGATTTTGAAGTTGGCCTTGCCTTCCTTGGCGATCTCGGTCTTGCGATGCTTGAGAAAGTGCTCGTAGATCGCGCGGCGCTCGTCCATCCTGCGCACAACACACCCATCTCATGAGAGCCAGACACGGCGGGAACGCATGGCGACCGTACGTTGGAATGGCGCGAAACCTATCGTCCAGCGCAATGCGTGGCAACGCTGCCTCCCACTTGCAGTATGGCATGATTTGCTTGTCGCGGAGCATCTGACGAAAGGCTTCGATGCGCTGGATGCTCTCGGCGCGCTCTTCTTCTGTTTCTTCGGAGGCGGTCTTGTCGTCTTCGGTCGTTTCTGTCGTGGTGGTAGAGTCAGGTGCCGATGGAGGAAGTGGTCTAGCGATCTCGTGCGCCTGCTTGGCCTCTTGCTGCATAGCTAGCTCAGCATATGTGATCTCTGGTTCTTGTCCCCACTCTGGCGGTCGCTCCCATGAACTGTGTTTGGACGGAAGGTGAAAGTAGTAGATTGTGCCAAACCCGGCATCGAATGCGCCCCATTCCCCAGAAAACGCCAGCGCTGTCTTCAGCATCGCCTGCATCTCGCCTCGCGCCTCACGCACCTCAATGGGCATCTCCCATGCGCTCTCTTTGGTCTCTTCGTTGTAAAAATAAGTCCATCCGTCTCCTGCAGAGTACTCGGCCCACACGCCATACCGCCGCACCATTCCGGCGGGGGTATTCAATGCTGGAGGTCCACAACCCTGTCTAAATAAATATATATTCTATACTCCGAATTTCCTTGATTTTGTGAAAAATCAAAATTCTGGCAAACACCCGGAATTGCGCCCGCTGCCTGGCGGCCTTGTGATGCATTCGGTGTCGGCCAAAGCGTGCGCGTTACAATCATGTGTGGAACGCCGCGACTCACAGCATCGCTAGCGCTGGAAACCGAGACAAACACACCAAGGACACGGACACACTCACGTCGCAGGTGGGGTGACGTGGCGACTCTACTTGAGGTCCTGGCTATTCACCCCTTTCATGGGCGGAACAGCCAAAGGAATGACACGACGTGCACCTCCAGGCCGGCCGCTCTAGACGGCAGCAACAGGTAGAGCGGCAACGACACTGTGTCCCGCCGCCGCCATAGCTCTCCGCAACGATCGACCACACCGGTTGGAACCTTCCCAACGACTGCCAGCCACATTCGGGCTTCTACACAACCAGTTGCCTGCCGTTCTGGCTCGACACAAACGGCGTGCTGCTAGGTCCATACCCATCATCATAGAACTCTCGTGGAGGTGGCGTGCATGATGGAACTCCAAAGGCTATGCTGAACTCATCTTGCCCCCCCGTGCCAGCCGCGTCGGCTGCCATTTCAACTCGTGGAAATTGCTAGACTTGCGAGGTTGGTGGGCACATTTCAAAGCACTTGGATTTTGTATGGGCCTTGACATTGCCCGTGGACTGGATCGTTCGAGGTAGCAAGTGCATTTACAAGAATAGAAGCATTTCAATTGCAGCAAACAAACTGAATCGACATATTCTTACAAACTTCGTTTCAAAAGATGCATACCATTTGCTATATTTTCGGCTCGAAAGAGTGGGGCGTTGGTTGCGACGGTCGACGCAGGCTGGATGTCGTGGTGCTTTCGCCAAGCTTTGGGTGCAGCACTTGGAAGCGTCGCGAGCGGACGAAGGCCGTTTGCCTGGCGCATTTGCCCTCCTTCCGTCGCACGCGCATGAGCAGGACCACGACGAACAACGTGAAGGAAGGCGCGCTTTTCAAACAGGGAGCAGGTGGCGGGCTGTTCAAGCGGAAGAACTGGAAGCTTCGTTTCTTTGAGCTCACGTTGGACGAACTGCGGTACTTGAACTCGGCGGGGGAAGTCAAAGGGTCCATCTCCATGCGATATTGCACCACCGATTCCATCGAGATCATGCCCGACTCGGACCGTCCCATCCATGGCGGCACGATCTGGCGCATTGCCATATCGACGCCGTGCCGTCGACTCCTCGTCGCATGCGCGTCCGAAGACGACATGGAAGCTTGGGTCGACGCTCTCAACTACGTCGCCGACTACAACGTGAAGCGCACCCACCGCAACATGTGCAAGATCTCGTTTGCTAGCGAAACTACGTCCGAAAAGGCCTTCGACCCCCAACAGTACCCCCGCCACCACTCGTCAATCGCGACGACTGCCTCGTCCGACTGTGTCGCCCTGCCAAGTCCCCTGGCGTAGCCCCGTGCTTCTGCGCGAGTGACTAGAACTCTATTTATTTCACATATCGAACGTGATACGAGCTATTCCAAACCCAAAGTTGAAAAACCAGTCTCCCCGCGTTTGCATGCGCGCTTCGCTTGCCACAGCATGCAACACCGCGGCATCGGCTGCGATGCCACCAAGATCGGAAATACTTGCCTTCATGTCCCTCCATTCAACACAACGCCAACGCACGAGCGGCGGCATACGGGATGTGGTGTCACATTGAGCTATGGGGTGAATCCAGCATGGCCACCCTGCAGTGCGAGGCACATTGGCACAACCTCCCATGACCCATCGTGCATACAGTACGAACCACGCCTTCCACCGCTCGGCACAACGTCGTTTACGAGCACATATCCCTCGGTTGTTGATGTTTTCCTCCACTTTCAAACTCCATCTCGTTGCTTCCTCGGTGCATGCAGCGTGTGAATCGATCGCTGCTTCATGTTCATGGAGGCGGTCGACCAGATCGCGGTCGTGAATCCAATTATCCGGATCGCCCTCCACGTCCTAGGTGTACGGATAACGATCGTGAATTTCGGACCAGCGTAGTCTGAGCGCTGTCAACACCATCATGGGACGCGCATGAACACGCCCGTCAGATAAAGAGGCAGTCGCGCGCAAGGGGACGCAGCAGTGCAAGCACCACCGTGTTCAAATGCACCCCTGCAGCATCGCGGCTGAGAGACAAAGCAGGCGTTGAAGCAGACGTCCAGGTTGGCTCAACGCAAACTACAGCTGTGTAAAGTACTGTGAAATTTTCCCAACCAGCGCCAGATGAAGACAACCAGGACATCACCTAATTTGGAGTCGGAACCGCAACCGACGAAGAAGCAGCGCAACAGCATGAGCTCCATTTGGCTGCAGCGAATGGCAAGACGAGATGTTGGGGTGGCGGCGGTCTCACGTGCGTGGTGGTAGGCTGCCTCGAAGGCAATATGCAAGGCAGCAAGCGATGGCAACATGACCGAATTGAGGAAGATCCTCCTGGACGTGGACGTCAATGTCGCTTCAGAGCCCGATAGCAAGGTACTGTCTGGTCGATGGTCATTTCGAGCTGATCATGCTTGTGTGATCAGTACTGTGGGAAGTCTGCGTTGCATCTCGCATGTGAGTCGGGCAAACTCAACGTCGCCCGATTCCTGCTCTCGCAGCCGACATTGAACGTCAACGTGTGCACACCTGTACGTTGTGGACGTCGCAATCGCTTTCGTCCTGCAACTGATCTCCATGTAGTACGGCGAAACCCCTCTGTTTTTTGCATGCCAGCACGGCCACGTCGAAATTGTCCAGTTGTTGCTTGCCCGCCCCGAAGCGAATGTCAACGCCTCCAACGGGGTGCGCCTGCCCCACCACTCCAACCCTCTGCTCGACCTGACGGGACCTTCCTGGATCCCCGTAGAATCAATGGACGGCACTCCACTCCGCGTGCGAGAATGGCTTCACCGACGTCGTCCGTCTGCTCTTTACTCGGCCCGAATTGGCGGTTGCGGAATTCTCGGTACGAGCACTTTCCTCGTGTGGCTGGGCGGCAACGTTCTTTTCATGCCACTTGAAGCGTGTACTTTTCATTCATTAAATATTCCACACTGATCTCTGTAGTGGCGACGCACGCCGATGCACCTGGCATGCCAGCAAGGCCACCTCGACATTGTCCGCCTCCTTCTCGCGCATCCTCACGTGTCTTGCCACATCGACGTAAGTCGCCAACTCCTTGCACACTCATGGCAATGCTCACGGGCACGTGCAGTCGATGAACGTTTCGAACGCGACTCCTGTCCATTTGGCCGCGAAGCGACAACACACGCCGGTCGTGGAAGCGCTGGTGTTGCATGCATTGCAATCGTGGTCATCCCCTTCCGCATCGTCGCTCGAGTTCTGGGCCACGTTTCTCGATCCGGCATTTCCTCTGGCTCCCATCGCTCGTGCCCACGCCATCCAAGCAGCATGGGCGGCGACATCGAACGCCAACACGCAATCGAGTTTTCGCCAGCGCCTTGCCGAACACTTTCCTGCAGAGAATCACCCTGTCTTAAGTCTCGTCGTGTGGTAAATATCGGCTCTGGATGGTTTGCTCACTCATTGTGCACTCGATCGAGTCCATTATTTCCACGCCGCTTCGTCGGACGAGTGGCGACACCACGGACCCAATCGTGAAAATCAGAGGCGTCGCGAGCGTGCGGACATGGCAACTGCGATGCTGCATGTCACACATGCCAACGTCGACCTCGTTCAAAAGCCCACACGTCCCAGCGATGGCCCTGCTGCACGTGCCTGAAGAGTGTGGCAGGTCCCTCATGGCGTCGATACCGAGCGATGTGCAGGAATCGCTATGGTTGGCTGTGGTGAATTTGGTCGATCAGAAGATTTCGTGTGGGAATTCATTCACGCCGGCACAGAGGACGCCAGAACAACGCCAACTGCTGTTATAGCTTACTTGTCCTGAGGAGCTGGGTCCCTTCATCAACAACAGGACGGGGAAGTGGTGCAGGGCCGTAGAAGAGAGTGCCAATGCGCTGGCCCTCGACTGCATGTATCAAGCTGTTTGGCGCTGCAGGGAGAATCACTGCCGCCTGCGGGTGTGTCAGGTCTATGACAGTGGGGATGGTACCTTAACAACTCCACTATTGATGGCTTCAACGCACGCCAAAACTTTATCGAGTTGGCCTTGTGGGCCGACTTGAGATGTTGTGCCGAATTGGATGGGCATTAGAGGGTCGTAGTCGCTCACGACCGCACCACGAGCATCTATAAGGGCGTTAGCAGAATCGACATAGGAACACGCAACCAGCGAGGCCAGGAAGGTCCGTGACAAGAAGCATCAGCTCAGCGCCGAGCTCCTGCGCCACAAGCGACGCCAACGAGTCGTTGTCCCATGCCACGCGGTTCTAGGAGCCGTCGCGAAGAAGGTCCCTTGTCGCGCTAGGGGAGGTACCGTGGAGTCGGTCAAAGGCACCTTTCGTTGGGACACAACGTCGTTCTCGTTGACGATCGGGATGATTCCAACTTGGAGCAATGACAAGATCGTTTGTTTGACGTTTTCGCGAATCTACAGCACGTCACCGACGGATGGAGGGAGCGTAGCGCCGGTGTACCTGGGGGACTTGGAAATCTGTGTCGGACGTCAAGATTTGAGAGCATGCCAAGTGGAACTGGGAAAACAGAACTTCGTACAGCGACTGCATACCGCTTTGCCCTGCGATGTGTCACGAATTCACACGTGACGATGGAAGACCATGGCACACCTGCAGCAGCACATGCTTTCGGATTCAGCGACCCACGCGTTGGGTTATACCCCTTCAAATGGGTTTGCATCGACCCTGACAGCATCTGCTGGCGCTTGAGCACCATGCGTCCGATCGCGACGGCGCCACTGGACACCAGAATGATCTGCTTCCCTTGCATATGCATCCGCGCGATCTGTTCGACGATGCTCCCGATCTTGCCCATGGCCAAGAGACCTTCGGGAGAGTTGACCACCTCCGTCCCGATCTTCACCAAGATGACGCGCGCGTGCTTGAGCGAGCTCCGGGGTTGGTCCATGTTGAAAGCTCGCAAATTTCGACTTCAACCCACATGCCACAAGATTTAGCAGTCGGCTTCGTTTCAGTATTCGTTATGAAAGGTTTCGCACTTAACGTCGGCCAACGTGATTTGCATCGCCGCGCCGACACCTTGAGATCGAGGATCCTACGCCATCCACGCAGAAGAAGAACACGAACGTAGTCGGCGTGACGATCGGATAGATCAGAGCATGCACCGTCAGCACGTTGCGACAGCATCACAGCCACTGTACAACTTAATATACACCGTTCAAGTTTTATGAGCCCAGGGACAAGCTCGGAGTAGGTTTTTTTACATCTGGGTAGTAGTAAAAGGTTTTTCTTTAAAATACCCGAACACCTTGGAGGCACCAAGACAGGTTTAAAGAGGTGTATATATGTGAAGTAGTACAAATGAATAGAACTTTAAGCTCGCTATACTGTAACACAATGAAGTCGTTGTGTCTGGCGACGTCCTGGTGGACATCCTGTTCAAGTCCCCATTCACGACGAGCCCCGCGAGTCATGGATGGGATGATACATGTACTGGCCGAATTGCGCGTTCAAGCTTTCAGCATGGTGACGTCGAGTGCCGCCTCAGAGCGGACAAAGGTTCGGAACCGCCTGACCCCAAAGAGCGTCGATAAGCTGACTATTATCAAAAGCAACTTGCTCGTATTCTGCGACTACGCCCTTCACGACGAGGTCGATGATGAACCGCCGGGCAAGGGATGCCTCCGAGCAGGGGAATGCGGTGGAATAGAATACAGAATACAACCTAAGGTTCTTTCGTCTCATGTGGAGGTTTTATTGCTATTAACCTCTCACCGTATGTTGACGGATGATGATATTCCGCTTTTTTATCATTGCTCATATATTGAGCTCATAACAGCGCGAGTAGCTCAGCGGTAGAGCGTCAGATTGCAGCTCTGAGGGTCACCGGTTCGATCCCGGTCTGGCGCTGTGTTTTTCTAAGCTTTGCAGGGTGGTCGTGTCGTACACAATTCCGTGCACGACACGATTGGTCAGTTGTCAAAAGCTCAAGAAATGGCAAGAGTTCCACCACGGACTGGCATTGTTTGCCGACTCGAGTGTTTTTGAAGTTATTTCGTCTTTTGTTTACTCAAGGGTTCTTGAAAAACACCAACAAGGTGGACTTGAGGTAAAGTGGTCTGGAGGAGAGAATCGCAAGCCTCTACATGCTGCATCCGAAGTTTCGCCACAGCCAACAAATGAAGGATCTTCAACCGTCCTCATCGCCATGCCAAAGCTGGTATCGTGCGGTCCACGTTGCTCGGGGGTGTCCATTGTGCTGTCGCTGCGGACGTTGTACCCATCAAGATCGTCGCTGTAAAGCTGGTGGAACGGGATCCCCAACGAATTCCAGAAGTGGAGGGTCCGGGTCCCCACTCGTTCGTAGCGTGGGGCTGCGCAGACTTTGAAGACGTACCGGGCGACATCGCCTTGACTATTCGCGATGGCATGACGAAGGGCTTCCACCACCACACACAGTTGCGGTCATTGTGCTGGAGAAACTCCACAACGTCCACACGCTCGTTCCCTGCTGCCGAAATCGTGGCCTCTTTCGTGCACCTTTCTGCTCGGTGAAGGCGAAGAAATTGCATCATTTCGAATTGTCCACTTCGCGCGGCACTGTCCATTGCATGCGCCATTCATCCCACCGTGCAGCCCTTCTCCAGTGGGAGGTGGTGGAGAAATTGCACAACAATCACATGCCCCATCCCTGCCGCACTCTTCTTGGCGAGTGTCACGCCAGTGGCTGGGTAGGCTAGCAGGAGATATTCCACGACTGCCAAGTGGCCGTACCCCGCAGCGCTTTCGTGTACGTTCGAGTGATCGTCGTGAGCGCATCCTTGTGGTCCAGAAAATTGAGAACTTTGACATGACCATTGTTTTCATGTACGTAGCCAATCGAGGACCATCCAACCCAGATCGATGAGCATGCAAAAACTGCACAACTTCCAAGTGTCCGTGCAACGCGGCGATGTCCATGACTCAGGCCGTGGAGGTAGCGCCGTACGCAACGAGAGAGAAGGCACAATCGAGAAATGCGTCGGCGGGGGGCGTCGTAGTGGTGTCGGTAGCGAGCTTCCAATGCTGTCCTTGGTGTCGGTGTGCGGTACGTCACACACAGCGTCGACGTGAAACGCCGCTGCGGCAGCTGTCACGTGGTTATTGTGAGCCCACATCATGGAGTAAAGTTAGTTGTAAGATCGCCAAATGTAGCCAAGGTATGCTGCGGCTTTTAACGCATCGATCGTCACGCTTTCGTGAAGTAGTGGCCACGAGTCTAATGTGTCCTTTCGACGGTCGTCGTCATTGCATCGTTGCGCCATGCATCATTGACCAAGTATTGCTCAAAGCCCAAACATCCATGCGGCAGCAAATGCAGCTCAAAGTGCTGGCCCTTCGTCGGGTAGTCGCGGCCCAGCAAAAACGACACTACATCGAGGAGGCCATGTTTGGCTGCTAGGCCGATGGCACATCGGGATGCTTGAGCAAGACCTTGGAGGTCACGGTGAAAGGATTTCACAAGTTCCAAATGTCCGAAACTTACGGCACAGTCCAGACCTGCCATGGTCACTGCCGACGCATCGCTGGCGACAATGCGCATGACGGTACTCACGTCGCTGTATGCGATGGCGACGTGAAACACGAACCGATGACCGGTCGGGCGAAAGATGTACTGAATGCGCAGATCATACTGCGTCCAGGACTCGCGGTAATAGACCGCAGCTTGAAATTCTTTTGCCCTTATCCGTCCTCGTCATGGTCAGCGACGCGCACGCTTTCACGTGGGGAG